CCGGCGGAGGTTATGTTTTACAGAATATCTCGAATATTTGCTAGGATCGATCATTCATCGAGGACCAAGCTGTGTGTTAATCCAACTTTTTCATTTGTTATTTATTTAGTCTCGTACATTCATTATCAACTTTAAACCTCTTTTTTTTCAAACAGAAAATAGACTAAGCACGATTCCTCGAAGGTTAAGAAATTTTCTCTTTCAGCACGTTATCGCTCGAATTTTCGCATCGTGGATCAACGACTGTTTCTCGAGGCAGTCTCGGCCATTAAAGCGTAACTCGGTCATTAAACGAGCTTTGTTCTTTAATTTATTCTTGACACATTCTCTCTCTCTCTCCTTCTACTTTAAATACGTCCTCGATTACAAAAGAGATCTCCTCCGTTAGTTTCTTCCTCTATCGATCGTTGACCTTAATTGACCTATTCCACGAAGAGGTCGATGTAACGCGAGACACAGCCCTCATCCCGTCAAATTTCACTCTTTACGAAATCACAATGCCCTGCGGGGCTGCACGTAATTGAATGCTTAATAAGAAGTTTTTCAACTCTTTTTTAGACTTTGATATTAGAACGTATCGGGAGGGATATCGGAGTTGTTAATTCGCTGCTTAATTTTTCACTCGGTTTAACGAACTTTGTTCATAAGGAGTTCCTTTAACGTGAATGCCTCTTCATTTCCCCAACATCCATTCTTTATTAATCGACTTTATCCTCTCGCAGAGAACTTTCTCGATGTACCTTCTGTTGCTCGTAAGTATATAGCCATTTCCAGCAATTTGCATCAAAATGAAAAACACAAATGAGAAAGCTCACTCTTCGAACAATTATCATAGAAATGTGCGTATTAAAAGGTACATTCTGAAATTTCATTAACGAAACAGGATTCTTCATGATGTTTATTGGTAAAGTATGAAACTCTTACAAAAAGTTTACAAAACGTTAAATGTCTATCGTCGAGCGGTCATCGACGTTCCTCAAAATTATTTAAGAAGACAAAAAGAAAAAGAAAAAAATCTCCCCTCTGGATTGAAATTAGCGTTCATTCTCGTGGTCACGGAAGGTATGGTTTTCAAGTTAAGAGATTGACTTCCAATATCATCTTCGATGCTTCGTCGAACAAGCACCGGCGTCCCTCGCGTGTCTCACGCTCCGTTCATATCCCGGCACGACCGCCAAGATTTCCCCCTTGTATCGCAAAGGAAACGTCCCCTCCCCACCCCCCACTCGTCTGACTAAATACCTCTGAGAACGAAATTTTCCGTAATTAGAGAGAAAGCGGCCCCTTTGATCTCCCCTCCGTTGCGGAGGAGCACCGCGAACGAGCAAAGAGATTGCCCTCGCAACGATCGATCGAAATAATTGCGCGGCCGAAATTTCCATAACGCGATGGAGCGGCTGCCTGTTGGTTTTCCTGTTGGCTCGCAATTTGCCACAATTTAAGCACCGACCCTCTCTCAACCCACGTGTAACGATGTATCTCTCTCTCCGGTAAATGCTTCGTATTATCAATTAGGTTTCATCGGGTAGCTCCGTGCCATGTAAACTCGATTATTTCTTATCGTGTCGACGCGGAGGGATTCTCCTTCAGACATCGTGGAATTCACACTTTCGATAGAAACTTATATAGTTCTGTTTTCGTGGGAGAGGAGGTGAGTTGATGGCTGGTTGTTGAAAGGGAAGAGAAGCTTTTGAATAAACCTGGTGACCTCCACAGGTTTTGAAATCATTTAAATCTCATTTGATCATTTTTTTTTTTTTTTTTTTTGCAATCGAAGTAATTTAGACGTTCGACTCAAAATTAACACCCTGTATGTAAATCTTATTCTTGTTCTCCTAAAATTATTTTTGCGAGACGTCGCTTCCAAATTTTCTGTTAATTCAGATTCTAACATATTACGTGCAGTCGTCAGGTCAGATTTCGAACTGCCAAACAAGATTAACTATGGAATTTTAGAAATAATTTCTCCGATCTTTTGCAAAGTGATCAAAGAGACATCCAGTAAGCAATTTACGTTCTATATAATCGACATGTAACAAGATATTCGTCTGGGAACCTGAGAAACGGAAAGAAAGAAGAGAGAAGATTATTAACCGTAGAATCCTCGAAGTTAATATCCAGCGAAAGTTTCATTAAACCGCGACCTCACCACTAAGCGAACGCGAGAATATTGCGAAATATTAACACCGATATTCAACCATGAAAATATCACTCGAACTCTCTTCAGGCCCGCGCCTGTTCAAAGTCTGAAAACTCCCAGCCAGTTCCTACTTCTGGTCGAGTTTGAATTCTCCAAGACGACGACGACGCGGCCGCTCGGCGAATAGATTTCCGAAAGTTCCTTGCAGCTTGCGCCCCTCCTTTGCCTTTGGAACGAGTAATTAGAGAGAAGAGCGAGGGAGGAGCGGCGCGAGTTCGATTCCTCTCTTGAAACCACTTCGTCGCGAACAGTGGCCCGAGTTTCACGGGGGGAGGGGGCGGGAGGGGGAGAAAAAAGTAAACTTTTAATTTATTTAAAATCCCCGTGATATTCGAGGCGAAGCGAGGCGAGGGAACGCCGCGCTCCGCTAATGAATTCTTATTCGATCCCGAAATTAAAGAGGTCGCGGGTATCGCGAGGGGTGCTGAAATTAGAAGGGAACGCGGTGGAAAACTCGAAGCTCGGCTAAGAAGGAAAAGAGATCGAACCGGACGAAGGATATCGTGTATCAGAAGTTACGTTTATCGTATGAAACGCGCAACTTTCGAGACTGTAGGTAAGTTTACCCTTGTACAGCTTCCTCCGCCATCCTCCCCGTCTCTCCGTCTCTCTCGCGCGACTCTCGACGATCGTGCGCCTCGATCGATCCGCGATGCCCTTCGTATAGCCGAGTACCGACCACCTTTCGGGTTTCAACGTGTATTAACTTTCGGAAGCGGAAGCCTTCCTCGGGGGGAATTGCTGTCACGCGATGAGAACCGAAACAATGCAGTCGAATCTGATTATCAGCGTATAAGCTCTCTTCAAAAG